ACACGTCCTAGCCAAATTATGTCACCCATAGCTTTCTGAAAGCAATAGCCAAGGAAGACATCATAGAAGGTAAAGTGCCCCCTCTAAATTGAGCACTGGTAAAATATAGGAAGGGACACGGGTGGTGCTGTGGTCTAAACCACAGAGCCTAGGACTTGCCAATTGGAAGGTCGGCGGTTCGAATCCCTGCGACGGGGTGAGCTCCCCTTGCTCAGTCCCAGCTCCTGCACATCTAGCAGTTCGAAAGCACGTCAAAGTGCAAGTAGATAAATAGGTACCGCTCCGGCGGGAAGGTAAAAGGCGTTTCTGTGCGCTGCTCTGGTTCGCCAGAAGCGGCTTAGTCATGCTGGCCAAATGACCCGGAAGCTGTCTGCGGACAAACGCCGGCTCCCTCGGCCTATAGAGTGAGATGAGCGCACAACCCCAGAGTCGTCCGCAACTGGACCTAAGGGTCAGGGGTACCTTTACCTTGTTAAAATATAGGAAAGAGAGAGCTTCCTTTAAACTGGAACGAGCATATACTCATGCTTCACTTGTGGTAGTCACTGCTTGAACCGCATGATCCACATGATGAGCAAGCTGCCATAGCTGCCTTTTTGCCACCTTGACACATATCCATATGCAGCCCTTCTGGTTATTTCGCTGCGCTTATTCTTCCCACCCCTTTCCAAATGACACGGATTCAACCTGAGATTTTTTGCACCACATGCACCAGTTTTATAATGTGTAAAAAATAAATACCTGTCTTGTTTAAATTGTAAAGGGGGAGGTACTCTGTGATTGAACAGAAGCTTTCCTTCTCTCAGAGTAGACTGAATTCATTCACCTGACCTGAGCACTGCTTGGTCACAGAATTCCAATAAGCATCTAAAGTGAGGAGAAGGACTTTGTACCTTTCCTGGATTCAGCTCAGGAATACCAACATGCGTGTGGACCTAAAAGATTCATTTGATTAAGCCACCCCAGTTATAATAAATTTACTCAACCTCAGTCTCTCTTCCTGCCTCTTGCCCCTGAGCTCAATTTACTAAAAATAATAAGACATTAATAAGTCTGTTGCTATTCCCAAGTGCATCTAATATCAACATTATCTCTTGCTATGTTTATTTCCCTTTCCCTTGCTGCATATTCTGTTAATCTAAGATGTACATTGTTGGCGCATTTAGAAATGGTCTGTCTCTGACTGATCTACTGTATGTTAACTATGTTATGCAGAACATAAAACAAGTGGTACTAGTCTGCTCAAAACTCAGAAGCAACGTACAGTGATTTTAAAGGTTTTGAGTTTTTATACTACACAGTCTTCAAATTTTTACATTCCTGAGATGTATAAATCATCTTGCCTTTTGGAAATGGAACACAGGAATTCTGATCAATCATTGAAGCTTCTTCAGAATGGAGGTGATGCTTTTTTTTAAAGAAGGGTTTCAGGACGTGGTGTGTGCGTGTGTGCTCTAATTAAATGCATCATACACATATTAAAAAGAACATGCTTTCTGGTGGTTTTATTTAGACAGAACAATCTTAATATTGCCTCTCTATATAAGCAAGAGATTAGAGATTGAGCAGAGGGAAAAAGCTGTATGCATTTGCAGTAGAAAGCCATATAAGTTGTGTTGCCTGCAGAGAGGCAATGGCCAGCGGCAGCATTTTAAAATTCCATCTTGAGTCTCAGCCACGCGCCAAATACCACTACAGTGGTACCTTGGGTTGCAGGTGCTTCAGGTTACAGACTCCGCTAACCCAGAAATAGTACTTCGGGTTAAGAACTTTGTTTCAGGATGAGAATAGAAATCGTGCGGTAGCGGTGGCAGCAGAAAGCCCCATCAGCTAAAGTGGTGCTTCAGGTTAAGAACAGTTTCAGGTTAAGAATGGACTTCCGGAACGAATTAAGTTCTTAACCCAAGGTACCACTGTACTGTGCTTTTGGAAGTGTTTGCAATCAGGGATTTCTTAGTCACAAAATGCACCTAGCGCCCTGCTAATTTCGAAAGCTGCTTGGAGGCAGCAATGGAAACCACAGGAGAAGAGAGTGCTTTTGAGCACAGCTCCTGCTTACAGGTTTCCCGCAGGCATCTGTTTGGTAGGCTTGCCATACATCAGAAAGCTCCTGGTTTTCGGGTGTAAAAATGGTGTTGGGGGGGACCCAGTATGCATGGCAACGCGATGGAAAAAGCAGCAGAAATTATTATTATTAATTACTTATACCTTGCCCATCTGGGTGGCTTCCAACAGATTAAAAATACATTAAAACATCAGTCATTCAAAAGCTTCCCTAAACAGGGCTGCCTTCAGATGCCTTCTAAACGTCAGATAGTTGTTTATTCCTTTGACATCTGATGGGAGGGCATTCCACAGGGTGGGAGCCACTACCGAGAAGGCCCTCCAAAAAGTTGGAGAAACAACTCCAAAAGCTTAAATATCACTATGGGGGGGGGAGGTACCCCCCCACCCAAAGCTCAACAATTTGTGTTTGTTCTCAAAAAAAGCTTAACAGTTTTGGTGGGTTTCTAAGCTCAGCAACTTTGCAGGTGTCGGGAATTATGGCAACCCTCCTGTTTGGCCACTGTGAGAATATGATGCTGGACTAGATGGAGTCATTGGCTTGGTTCAGCAGGCTCTTCTTATGTTCTTAGGATATGCTGGCAGTCTGGCAATACTGCTTCCTTGCCTGCTACTAGGGTAAATGGTAGCTGTGCTAGCTACATTACATGCGGTTAACTCTGGATCCAACCCTCTATTTTCATAACAAAAGTTGTGCAGCCTTCCCAGCATTGTGGGCTGGCTGTGAAATTTGCCTTCTGCTTAATCATGGTTCATATTGTTATGTACTGAAGTTCTCACCCTGGGCCAGCAGGGGGATACTGTAGATAGTTTTCACTCAGGTCCACTTATGCAAATAAGGGATTGAAAGTGATGTTCAGTGATTGGATAGTTACAGAAAGTGGTTACTGTTGCATTGTAGTGGAGCTCTATATAAGCAGGCTGGCTGAACCCTTCAGTTCAGTTCAGTTCTGTTCTGGCCTGTGAATAAACAAGAGCTGTTTGAAGAATCGCTGTGTCATCTGATATGTTCACCCACAACTTAACACATATAGAGCATCCTCCCCCTCTTCAGACCTTCCTCTGATGAGTTCGCACTGGGACGGGGCCAGCGGGGTCATGGCGGTGGGCACAGCCCTGCTCTCCCCCTCCATGCGGTGGGAATAATGTGCAGCAGAACAGCCAAATAATGTGGGTGATATCAGCCGAGTCTCTAAAGAGCCCTTTTAATAAAAGTACCATTCAGAATTTTCAGCCCAAATGCTTTCTTTTCTGCAGAATGGCCAAGACAATTAGTGAACCCAGGCAATATAATTGATTTTCCTTTATGTTCATTAAAATGCTAATTGGTTTTCATTATTGCCATTGTAAAATATACTGCGTTTGGGGCATAGTAAATGAACCACAGGTGCACTTTAGAATACTCCACATGGGCTTTTGGAATAATTTCTTACTATTTAAGTATGGGAAATATTTTGCCAGAGAACCCGGTGGACCTTAAAATGGGTGAAACTGATCAAGTACCTTTTAAAAGGCACTAAAATATATGGCAGCTGTGTTTTTATAGGCAGAGCTTAGTGAAGGGAAAATAGAAGAAAGAATGCCAACTAATCCATGGAAAAATAAATACCTCTTTGCCTTTCATCAGAAGGTACCCCATGTTTGTCTGTGTTGTATAAAATAAGAGTTGGATTGCAGAGTTGTTGTAAATGCTGATAACATTTTATGGTTATTACATGAGGGAAATGGACTTACAACATAGGCACAGAATGGTGCTTTCGTTCCTCCTTCTGTCCCTTATTAATTTGGAAGTGATGGAAAATTCCAGGGGTCGTGTCCAAGGTTAGTCCTACTCAGAGTAGACCCATTGAAACTGATGGGCCTGGGCAACTTTGGGCCCATTAATTTCACTGGTTCTGCTCCGAGTAAAACTTATTGGATACAATCCCAGATATACACCATAGTTGTTGCTCATTAATTGAGCTTGACTTCAAGGATAGGACTGCCAGCTCACCAAAAAAACCCCCGAGGAAGTCTTGTTTTGATTCATGCTGGAGTTTGTGTGTGTGTTTGTTGAAGGAAGTGTGATAGAGGAATGGTGTGCACACTCAGTCCATGACTCATCATATCTTATACCCTTATATCTCAGCTCAATCATTGCCATCATCTACAGGTCATCCCCCAAGTTGGTGATGTGAACTTAGTGTCATCAGCTCAGTCCTATGGAATGCTCTTCTAATATAGACTCAATAGGCACCTTCTGTTTTGATCAGTGAACACCTGCTGGAAAAAATTCTGTACTTTCAAGCTTATGCAGGCAATTAAGAATACATATTTCACCAGGGGCGGGGGATGATCCCAGATTTTTAATTTTCCCTTTTTTATTGTATATGTGTATGACTGTTATAAGCTGCTTTGATTTTTGTTTGTTTGTTTAATGAATACTGGTATACAAATATTTTTATAAATGCAAAATGGCTGCCTTACGTTTACAAGTTTTGCAGTGCTGGAAAAAACCTGCAGAAACTTCAAACAGAGAGAGCTGAGCTTCCAACTGAGAGGACAATAAGACAAAAGACATGCATGTTTACAGTAGAGGAAGAAATGCCTCTATCACAGCTCCTTCAACTCTCTTAAAAAACATGGTCTACCTCAAGTCTTTTAGAAATTGTGAGGCGAACTCTTATCTTCCTTTAGGAGACATAAATCAAATTAAATGGCTCAGGTCACATTTTGGCATCCATAAATGCTGCCTTCTGGAATGAAGATTGGCATGTAAGAACTAATTGAAGCAGGTAGCGCTACGGTCTCATGACTGTCTTTGATCTGATAGGCTGCAGTGGTTTCAGGGAATGCCGTCAAGTTGCCTTAATATGGCCTATTGTTCCACGTCAAAGAATGTCTTTAAATCATTGACTCTGTCTCTACTGCACTCATTTCCCCTCTTGTTCCCTTAGATTATGATGCTGAAAGTGACGTTCAACCACACCTCTATGGATCATTGCAGAGAATCCTGCAACTCCACCCGAAGCACAGAACTGCAGACAGAGTGCAATTTCTTCTTGACCGCTATCCGCTTGGCCTCACTGAATCAGATCTTGGACCCCTGGGTTTACCTGCTGCTTAGGAAGATCCTGCTGCGAAAGTTTTGCCAGTTGGCAAGTGCCATCTCCTGCCGCTCCCAGGAGGGATGGAAAGGGCGGCACATCATGTTGTCAGACAAAATCAGGCGCACACCGTGAAGCAGGTTGCATGCCAACAACTTTCCTTGCACCGCCACCTTACTGTGAATATGGGCATCCATGTTCTGTCCGTTTCCCTCTGTAACTGAATGGCAAGGACATAATATATTCCATGGACTAGTATTTTCAGTGTCTGCCAGAAATTGTTAACTTATAATGATATATCTAAGAAACCTGCCCGTCTTTTGAAATCCATAGCTAAGAGTGCAGCTTTTTGTGTACGTCCAAAGACATCGCAGGGATTTTTCCTACTGCATGGGAGAAGAACCTGCCATTTAAAAATCAGAACTTTGACTGTATATTCAGTGGCAATTAAGTTATTGAAGACTCAACATTTGTTTGACTCTAAAATTATTGTCAGAAATTTCCTTTGTTTCTGGTCTTCTTTTTGACTCACCGATTTGACCGAAAAGGAAGGATAATCCTTTTTCATGCTGATTCCAGAAGAGAGGGATAGGGTGGGAGTTGAGGAATCAAAAATGCTATGGTGTGTGTGTTAATGGCTTGTGTCCTTTCCTTAAAGTTGGGAAAGTAGCAAGAGGCCTGTCAAATGCATGGAGTCACCACACTAATTACTCATTTTCAATAAACACTAAAGGTCTTTTTCAAATGGTAGTTTGTTACCTGTTGTATATTTTCACTTGTTTATGCAAGTTGCCCTTGTTATTTGCTGCTGCAGAGAATCCATGTGTCTACTCTCATGTGAAGAATTTATGTTCTGGAGAAAGCACATTGTCCTAATATTCAAACTACAGCATTTTGCCTCTGAAAAAAACTGTTGCTTCTATATTAGGATTCTTGGCCCTGGAAAGGCAGTGCTTTTCTTCAATCTATTAGAAGCAGAAATAAACTAGCGGTTCCACAAGGCACTTACTATACAGTTAATTAACCCCTTTTCAGATTATCATAAATACTCTGTTATACCTCATCTAAGTAATAGTTAAGATTATGATGATGTATTAGATTTATACCTCACACTTTCCTCCAAAGGAGCCCAGGGTTTACTTCTGCGTAAGCATAATAGAAAAATGTCCTGTTCAGGAAAGACCACCTGCAACTTTAATTAGAAGATTCCTCCTTGCAGCTTCTACCTCTAACTGCCTCCTGTTCAGTGTATTTCTAGCTTCATTTCTGACTTTTGATGAAAGGCCTTGTATCTAGCTAGTTCTTCTCTCAACTACTTTTCTTGTAAAAGAGAGAAATGAGTGGGAACTGCTCTCTGCACTCTCATGTTAACTCTGTGTTGAAAATAATCTGCTCAGTGTGAAGTAAGTATCATGGGAATGTCAAACATGGGCAGTTTATTTTATTTTATTCAGGTATTTTTGGGTATTATTTTAAAGTCACATTAGCATGTATCTTTAAAATTGCTTTAGCAATGTTCTCTCCCATTTTATATGTGTTTGAGCTGCTTCATCTACCATGAGGGGAGGTAGTCTTCCTGAAAATAAATTGCTTGTAAATAGTATGTTTTTTCTACTTACTCATAACCTTTCACAGTAATTGAAAAGCAGCTGCAGCATGAAAAGACAAAAAAATACTTTTCAAATGAGATTTGGGTATACTGATGTCATTCAGCATCTACTTCATGAATCATTATGAGTAAAAATTTGGAATCTGAGCCAAGAAAGACTTTTCTTTTGCTTTTTGACATAGATGCTACATTATAGAAAACCTTTAGACTAGGGTAAAGAAAGTTCAGTATAAAAAAGGTACATCTGAATGAGCCTGCATCCCCTAAAGCAGGTAGCCCTGCAGAAGATGTTGGACTTCTTTTCTCAACAGCCTTAGCTAGCATGGTCAATGGGCATGGATGATAGGAGTTGTACTAAGGTACTACAGTACTGTACTACAGTAATATCTGGATGGCAACAGATTACCCATCCTTTATCCTGTGGGCTAGAGCAGCCTTTCTCAACCTGTGGGTCCTACAACTCCCATCACTCCTAGCTAGCAAGGGGATGATGGGAGTTGTAGTCCAACAACATCTGGGGACCCACAGGTTGAGAACCACTGGGCTAGAGGAAAGTTTGATATCCCTTTCTTGATTCTGAATTTAATATATATGTGTGTGTTAATAGTTGCCACAGGCGCATGATGTTCGCAGCCTGGTGCTGGGTAGACCACAAAAATAAACACAGTAGATGGGTATTGGGTAAGTTCCACTGAACACAGAGGAGCTTTATTACAAATAAGCATGGATAGAGTTGTGCTTTAAGGTCCCTAAGCATCATTATGTGAGCGAGGAAGGAGAAAACCCAATAGTTATGAAGTCAATGGCAAACTTAACCATCAAAGCTTTTACATTGAATACGTAACCTCATTGTTCCTTGTTGTTCTGGCAATCATATTGTTAATTTAAGTGAAAGTGCAAATAACCACCAAAGGCACTTTGACATTTCGTGAACTGCTTTTTTTCCCTTTTCTTTTTTGAATGAGTCTTGTCTTCCAGACTGACGTGCTTCTGAGTTTAGTTTGCAGAGACAATAAAGAACTGTCATTATTCAGTCCATAAAAAAAAACACAAGGGAGGGAAAGGATTATAAAGGAATCTTAGAACAATAATAGCTTAGCTGTTTTGCATCGTGAACGAAACTTAAACATGGTACTATAATCGCCCCTGCTATAGAGTAAAGCTCCTTCTGTTCAAGGTCATGCAGAGATGAATAATGGAAGAAGGAAAATGTCTTCACCCCTAGAACTGACTACCACAAAATGGAATGCTATATATTATAGCAGGCACAGCTTCATGTCGTTTTGTTACCTGAGATGAAATACCTGCTGAAGTCAAGGAGAAGAGAACTTAAGGCTGCTCAAGTTATCCTGGCACCTTGGGCAGAAAACCCCACAGGTGGAGCATAGGAAACTGTCCCAGACAAAGTCAGATCCTTTATGCATCTTGCTCAGTACTGTTAACATTGATTGCCAATAGCTGCTCTGCAGAGCATCAGGCACGAATCCTTCGCAGCCCTACCTGGAGACACCAAGGATCGAAGCAGGGACCTCTTGCATGACCCATCCCAACTTACCCACTCCTTGACAGTAGAATTAATTAGTTAATGCATACTGCACTTCCGTGACATGCAATATCAGCTACCTGAGGCAACAGCCTAGTTTTGCCTAATGGCAGAATTGTGCCCTGTTACTTTATTGTAAGGTCAGCTCTGGTAATAAAACATTCTGCTCTGACTGGGAGGAAGGAAACACTGGCAAGCTAGAAGCACAGACAAAATCTTTTTTTCTTTTTTCTTTACTTTGTCTTTAAAATGCCTGTGGAATGGGGGGGAAAGCCTCTTTTTAAAAAATTCAAGCCTCACTGTCAAAATATAAACCAAATCAAAGCCATCCTGTATTTCCCTAAGACCTGTGTACACATGGACCAAGGAAAGTGGAATCACACCCACTGGCTGTACCCACAACATTCACAGTTTATTCCAACCCCTGGACAGTGCCCATGTGTGTTCAAGGTGCATACAAGGTGAACATAAGCAGGCTTGTATCCATTTGCGGAGGGAATGAGTAGCAGAGGCAATCCCTCCCTCACTGTCCATATACTGATTATACACAAATATCTGGTCAGCAAGATGTTATTGTATGCGTATTTTAGCATAGCACAACAGTCTTGTGGGTACATCAGTAAAATTTCTGCACTATAATTCGGCACAACAAAGTACATCTTCATTAAAGGGTACTGTGACATTAAATACAACATTCATTGAAGTGTGTGCGTGCATGTTGACTTAAGCCGCAGCCTTCAACAACCTTTGTCAACCTGGTGCTCTCCATATGTTTTGGACCTCAGCTCCCATCAGTCCTGGCCAGAATGTGACCGGGACTGATGGGAGTTGTAGTCCAAAACATATGGAGAGCACCAGATTGGCAATGGCCGGACTACAACAATAAGCATTTTGCTGACATTTTCAAAGGTTCAGCTCAATGCACCAAAATACAATGAAAAGCAGAATCAATTTGTGATTCACCTCTGCACATTTTTTTTTAAAGCTGTATAAATCTGTCCAAAGTAAATACAATTTCATGAAGCAAAACCAAGCTTTCCAGGTGAAGGAAGTTCTTCATTCTCTCTAAACTGTTGCTTATTTCCTTGACATCTGGTGGGAGGGCGTTCCACAGGGCAGGCACCACTACTGAGAAAGCCCTCTGCCTGGTTCCCTGCAACCTCCCTTCTTGCAGTGAGGGAACTGCTAGAAGGTTCTTAGAGCTGGACCTCAGTGTCCGGACTGAACGATGGGGGAGGAGACACTCCTTCAGATATACTGGGTGGAGGCTGTTTAGGGCTTTAAAAGTCAGCACCAACACTTTGAATTGTGCTTGGAAACGTACTGGGAGCCAATGTAGGTCTTTCAAGACCGGTGTTATATGGTCTTGGCAGCCACTCCCAGTCACCAGTCTAGCTGCCGCTGAAGAAGATAAGGCTCAACTATTGGACCTTGGGATGAGCCACTTGAAGTGGGAAAATGTCTTGGTCTGACCCTGATTAGAACACCAACATTCTGCTGACTTCTGGCACAGGTTGCTCATTATATGTAAGTAGATCTGTAATAATAGATTCTTAATGGCTTTCTCAATAACTAAGGCAATTGCACAGTTGGGTTTTGAATTATCACAGCAGTTGCATCATTGTGCCCTATTCTGGATAAAATATTTCAAATGCCATTGTTCCTAATACCTATGCACATTGGACTCCAACATGAATGGAAGCTGTGCTATTTTGGTTGCATTGACATCATTAAACCCTTGCATGTATACAAATCCTCAGATCACACTGTCAAAGTGTGGCCTTTGTTAACTTCATGGCATAAATTATTGCATTATGCCTGGACTGCACACATAGATTTGGGTAGCCAAGGAGGTGATGAAATCAAATTATTTTCCAATCCCATGGTTTCTTGAACTGAATGCAAGACTTTAAAAGCAGACCTGTTGGAATGAAGTAGGAAAAAATGCTGCCTAACATTTTAACAAGCTACAGTTTTAATGATATTTACATAGTCCCAAAGCCCTCATTGCACACTTATGCCTAGAAAAAAATTATAAGCATGCCAAAATATATATGTTTTTTCATGACCTCCCTGGTAACTTTGGCATGCATTATTATGTTTCCCTTTTTATTTATGGGAACTAAGGAGCAGGTGCTCCTTTTATGATGCCCTAAAACTGCTGCTAAAAGGGGGGAAAGAGGTGTACAAAATCATCTACTGCTAGCTACAGCCTCTAGGAATAAACAGTTGCTTTGCATTATTTAAGTAATAAAGGCTTAACCATTTGGTCACCAAGCTTTATCAACATGCTAGTACTTTCTAGGTGTAATGGGTCTAACTATCTATCCATCATATAAATTCTCTCCCTTACTGTTGTCCTTCTGATATGAAAATGAATGCAGCTGTTGTTCCCAACACTGGATACGAGGCGGGCTGAGACAGTCCAGTCCGACATATGTTTCCTCAGAGAGAAGACTTGTTCCTTAAAAAAATGGTGGAAGCAAGTTTCATTAAAAATATTACATAGTGGTGGGAGATACTCCAGATAAATTGAAGAAAAGGAAATAAATTGAAAGAAAGACGGCATTTGTCAATCAAAAGGTAATTCATTATTCCCTCTAATAGTGAACTTGTGCCTGTTTGACAGTGAAATGGGACCACCCAAAACATGGTTTCCTTGACTGGAAAATTAAAAGAAAAAAATGTGTTAAATGAATTAATAAATACTCTGTGTTTCTCCACTCCTAGATAATAATTCTTTATTACTTCCCCCACCTGCTTTACATTTTACATTCTTCTCCCATCACTACATTTCAGAGGCTGATGTTTCATTTCATCTATAGTCTTAAGGGGAGTTCTGCCTTGAGTGTAGGAGGCAGTATGCCTCTGAAAATCAGTTGCTAGGAATCAGTTGCTGCACTTAGGTTCTGCTAGGGACTTCCCATAGGCTAGCCACAGTGACAACAGGATGGTTAATTACACTGTGCCTCTGGCTTGATCCAGCAGAACTCCTCTTCTGGTCATATGCTTAGGGTTTTGGAATGTGGAACTGCAAATGATGACCAAACATTGATTAGAAATCGTATTGAGGTATGATTGTTTGCTTAATTGCCTTAATAAAGGGGCTACCTTTGAAGGTGACCCAGGAACTGCAATGAATCCAGAATGTGGCAGCTAGACTGGTGACTGGGTGTGGCTGCCGAGACCACATAACACCGGTCCTGAGAGATCTGCATTGGTTCCCAGTACATTTCCGAGCACAATTCAAAGACTACAGGTCAGGTTCCACATATACTGTCTTTGGTCAAGAAATTAAGCATCTAGAAGAAATCACTTTGGATGGAGAACACTGAAGCTGTGGCTAGTCCCAAGAACGGTGGATCCATGACCATCGTTCAGCCTGGACACTGAGGTCCAGCGCTGAGGGCCTTCTAGCAGCTCCCTCACTGCGAGAAGTGAGGTTACAGGG